GTGCCAGTGATGTTACTGGGATGCTGTCGTCAAGCCTCTAATACACGTAGCAGCTAATGCTTTTTTTGCTTCGTTTGAGCATTTTGGCTTGTTCAAAATGAAAGCGGTTTAAAAAAAAAAAGTGAAAAATGCTTGAAGGGGAAAAATAAAACTGACCGAAATACGTCCACCAGTACGAACCGTTCCGATTCGTTTAACGTCTTCGACTTTTGGTAAGTATTGATGCTCTGTAAAGCAGTGTACAGCCCTGCTGTTGTCCACTTGGGCCCATATTTCGCCTATAAATCACAAATCCATGATCTTAAAATACTGAAGAGCAGAATCATCTTCTGCGTGCACTGACGATTTTGTTTTTCGGAAACGCAAAGTGATGTTTTCCTGCAACACATCACTACGTCGTCCTGGAACGCATGGCGATGTTTCTCTGGATCATTGCTTTCTGGAGTGTTTAAAATATAAGCATCATTCGACATTGATATTTTTGATTAACTCATTGTTGATGCAGCCGGAATTTCTTCCGTTCTGCATTCGATCCTAACCTCGCCTCATCCAGGTATTCGACCGGATCCTTCCATAGCGTTTTCTGTGTTATTTTGACTTCTAAGATATTAGTCGTACACAGTATTATAAATGTTGCAAATATCACCTCAAACACATGAAATAATGTCTTTATTAAAATAGTAAAACTGAGTCTTCAATGATTCATATTTTAAACGCAGTTTTATTATTCAGCACAATTAAGTTTGTTGTCCCCAATTTAAATTTGCTGTCGGCCGCGCCGTTAGGACTACTGTTGATCGTCAGGAATTACAGAGATACTAGAAGAGTTGGTTCGAATGAATTATGCTCTCCATTTGCATTATACCATACTTACAATATCGTGGACGATGCTTTCAAAGAACTAATTAACTAATTAGAATGAATTATGCCTTCCAGTAGCATTTCAGGGGTGGTCATTTATTTGCTTGTCAGCTAACAAATAACAGCCAGATGCTTGAGGTAGCCGGCATAGTCATTCTTTTTTCCGACCGAGTTGCTGAAGACGCATTGTGCGCGATAATCTTACGCTTCCTAAGGGGAATACTGGAACAGCACTGGATCATATTGGAAGCATGTTTATTGGAAAACAACAACAACAAAAAAAACCAACCAGGTGATAAGCTTGCATTCACAGACACCAGAATGGCGCCGAGCATTGCGCATGCTATATGCACAAATATAGCTTGGGCTGTAGTGGAACAAATTAACGCACATCGTGTCCCAGGAACAACACCGATTTCCCGCAGTCGCTGAGCGCAGTTTTCTGTCCAAGCACGTAATTCCGAATAACGCCACTGTTTACCACTTTCCAGATCAACCTGCAAAGCAGACAAGGGAATTTCCCTCTTCCAGAATACTGACATTGCCAGTGTTCTCCTCCTCGCGATAAACTGTAAGACGTTGGGCGGGTAAGAAGTTGCGTCACGGTTAGCTGAAATTTTCACGTTCGAAAATTGGTTGATAAATATAATGTTAGAAAGAAAGCAGTAAAGTTGGAGGAGAAGGGACAGGAGAAAGGGAAAAGGCAACCTCATGTGATCACTCAAGGTGTAATAAAATTGTTTTGACTGAGACAAAAATAGCCGAAGTAACTTTTCAACTACTGCTTGCGCTGTGAAGACGCACCACAGATACCAGTGTTCAGGTAATTTTAGTAATTGGTATGTATCCTGAACCCACTGTAAATTGTAATACAGCGGGAATTCGGTCAATTTCAAATAAAATAATGAAGC